TTGGTGGGCAGTGTCCTTTGGTTTTGGAGTTGTAGTTCACCTATATTCAACTCAAACAATGGTGGATCTGGACCAAACTTGGCACGAATACTCCAAATGCCCAAATATGAACACAGATGGAGTTTGGGGGGAAATAGACCTTGACATTTGGGAGTTGTACTTACTGGGATTTATAGTTCACCTACAATCTAAGAGCATTCTGAACCCCACCAATTGGGCCAAACTTCCCACATAGAACCCTCATGACCGACAGAATTTGGTCAGTATTTTCTCTTGGTCATGGGAGGTCTGTGTGGCAACCCCTCTGTCATTGGTGTGGTTCAGAATGCTCTTTGATTGTAGGTGAACTATAAATCCCAGTACCTACAAATCCCAAATGTCAAGGTCTATTTCCTCCAAAGTCCATCTGTGTCCATATTTGGGCATATGGAATATTTCTGCCAATTTGGTCCAGATCCATCATTGTTTGAGTCCACAGTGGATGTGGGTGAACTACAACTCCCAAACTCAAGGTCAATGCCCACCAAACCCTTCCAGTATTTTCTGTCATGGGAAAATACAGTACCAAGTTTGGTTCAATCCCATCCTTTGTGGAGTTTAGGATGCTCTTTGATTGTAGGTGAACTATAAATCCCAGCAACTACAACTCCCAAGTGACAAAATCAATTTTTTGAGTGATGGTCACTCCTTGGGTTAGTTTGTTCTAATGGCTTGTTCTTGGCCTGCCAGAATCAGGCCCTCCTCCGTCTCCTTTTTCAGAGTCCTATTTGTGAGGCAGAGCCATGTTTTGTATTATTATTAAATTATTATTTATTATTATTATTAAGTTAATTATTAAATTATTATTATTATTCTAATAGATTCTGAGAGTTGGAAGAGACCCCGAAGGCCATCCAGTCCAACCCATAAAAGAGAGAGCGAGAGAGATTCCTAGTTGGAAGAGACTTCAAGGACCATCCAGTCCATCCTATTAGGAAAAGAGAGAGAGAGTGATTCTGAGAGTTGGAAGAGACCCTAAAGGCCATCCAGTCCAACCCTTAAGAGAGAGAGATTCCTAGTTGGAAGGGACTTCAGGGGCCATCCAGTCCATCCTATTAGGAAGAGAGAGAGAGWGWGAGAGAGAGATTCTGAAAGTTGGAAGGGACTCCAAAGGCCATCCAGTCCAACCCGTAAGAGAGAGAGATTCCTAGTTGGAAGGGACTTCAGGGGCCATCCAGTCCATCCTATTAGGAAGAGAGAGAGAGAGAAAGAGAGAGAGATTCTGAAAGTTGGAAGGGACTCCAAAGGCCATCCAGTCCAACCCGTAAGAGAGAGAGATTCCTAGTTGGAAGAGACCTCAAGAGTCATCTAGTCCCTCTTATGAGTTATGTTAACCCCACAAACAAKCATTACATTTTTATTTATATAGATTATTATTTTATTATTGTTGTTGTATTATTTTATTATTAAATTATTATTATTATTTTATTAAATTATTATTACTAAATGTATTATTAAATTATTATTAAATTTATTATATTATTATTATATTGGGTTGTAGGTTTTTTCAGGCTGTATGGCCATGGTCTAGAGGCATTCTCTCCTGACGTTTCGCCTGCATCTATGGCAAGCATCCTCAGAGGTAATGAGGTCTGTTGGAACTAGGAAAATTATTATATTATTATATTGTTAGAATCATAGAATCAAAGAGTTGGAAGAGACCTCATGGGCCATCCAGTCCAACCCCCTGCCAAGAAGCAGGAATATTGCATTCAAATCACCCCTGACAGATGGCCATCCAGCCTCTGTTTAAAAGCTTCCAAAGAAGGAGCCTCCACCACACTCCAGGGCAGAGAGTTCCACTGCTGAACGGCTCTCACAGTCAGGAAGTTCTTCCTCATGTTCAGATGGAATCTCCTCTCTTGTAGTTTGTTATTTAATAAATTATTAAATTTATTATTAAATTATATTATTAAGTTATATTATTATTAAATTATTATTAATAATAACTTATTATTAATAAATTTATTATATTATTATATTATTAAATTAATAATAATAATAATTTATTATCATTAAATTTATTATATCATTATTATATTATTATTAAATTATTATTAATTTATACTATATTATTATTATTAAATTATTATTAATAATAATTTATCATTAAATTTATTATATCATTATTATATTATTATTAAATTATTATTAATTTATACTATATTATTATTAAATTATTAATAATAATAATTTATTATCATTAAATTTATTATATCATTATTATATTATTATTAAATTATTATTAATTTATACTATATTATTATTATTAAATTATTATTAATAATAATTTATTATTATTATTTTTATTATATTATATATTATTTATTATTATTATTAAATTATTATATTTTTTATAAATTTATTATATTATTATTATATTATTATTATATTATTAATTTATATTTTATTATTATTATTATTATTATTATTATTATTATTATTATTAATTAGGCTAAGAAGGGACCCCTTCCCTCCTTGTTTGGGTAGGGGGCTGCTGGGTCGTTGCAGTCCCCATTCCACCTTCCCCAGCTTGGAGAGAAGGAGGTGGCAGCCTGGACTTTGACACCTCGGGAGGGAGGGAAGCGGGAGGGAAGCCTGACACCTCGGGAGGAGAAAGAATTATTATTATTATTATTATTATTATTATTATTAATTAGGCTAAGAAGAGACTCCTTCCCTCCTTGTTTGGGTAGGGGGCTGCTGGGTGCTGCAGTCCCCATTCCACCTTCCCCAGCCTGCAGAGAAGGAGGTGGCAGCCTGGACTTTGACACCTCGGGAGGGAGGGAAGGGAGAGGGAAGCCTGACACCTCGGGAGGAGAGGGAAGGAGGGAGGGAGGCTGTTGGGACTCCCAGGAGTGTCTTTCTGGTTTGGGGAGCTGGGGCGGAGGCTTGAGCTCCAGCCCCAACGTGGCACCAACGAGCAAGTCCAGGCTGGCAGGGAGAGAGAGAGAGAAAGAGAGAGAGAGAGAGAAAGAAGGAAGGAAAGAAAGAAAGAAGAGAGAAGCCGCCTCTGTTTGCGCCTCGGGAGGGGTGGGGAAAGAGAGAAGGAAAGAGAGGGGGAGAGAAAGAGAAGTTGGAGCCACTCAGAGAAGCGGGACCCCCTCCTCCTCTTCCTCCTCCTCCTCCTCCTCCTCCTTTCCCTCCTTTCCCCTCCAGCCAACTCCACCGGGTATAAAACCCTACTGAAGCCCAAGTCTGGCTCGTGTGGAGCCAAGAACTCTCCTTTCCTTCCCAATCGAGGCTTCCCAAACTGAGCCTGGCTTTCCGGAGACAGAGCCCGAAAACTGGAGGAGGAAACGTGGAAGGAGAGCCAGGAAAGGCAGGAGAGCCTTTGAGCACATTAGAGAACCCTCGGTGCTTCTTTTTGCGAATAGACTTCACTTCACCGCCGGGGATTGCTTCGCTTTCTCTTCCTCCTCCCAATCGGATTGGGTTCTTTTTCCACCCTTCTCGGAGGGGAAAGTCTTTGGAGAGTGGGGTCTTGTGCAGAAGGGGGCGTAAAAGGACGCCCCAACTTTCCCCCACCAACTTGGAAGGCACCACTGTTTGGGTTTGGTGAAAGGACTCTTCTGCTTCTGCCTTCTGCTTCTTCTCTTCCTTTCTGCGCGGGGATGATGGGCCCTGGGCTGCCCCGTCCCCGCGGGAGGACGATGGCGTGGGCACTGCTCCTCTTGGTGGCCCGGGTGGTGGCCCTGGTGGCCAAGGCGGCGCTGGCCTGGCTCCTGCCGCCCAAGAGGAAGGACCTGCGGGCCGAGCACGTCCTCATCACCGGAGGAGGCAGGGGCATCGGGAGAGCCCTCGCCCGGGAGTTCGCCAAGAGAGGAGCCAGGAAGGTGAGGCACCCAGGGGAACCGGGGGCAGGGGGGGTAGGGGAGGGGAAGGACACCCAGCCCAACCCTCATCATCCGGTGGAGGATTATAGTATTGGAAGGGGTCCCCCAAAAGACATCCATTCCAAACCTTCCTGGCTTCATAGAATGGGAAGGACACCCAGCCCAACCCTCATCATCCGGTGGAGGATTATAGTATTGGAAGGGGTCCCCCAAAAGACATCCATTCCAAACCTTCCTGGCTTCATAGAATGGGAAGGACACCCAGCCCAACCCTCATCATCCAATGGAGGATTATAGTATTGGAAGGGGTCCCCCAAAAGACATCCATTCCAAACCTTCCTGGCTTCATAGAATGGGAAGGACACCCAGCCCAACCCTCATCATCCGGTGGAGGATTATAGTATTGGAAGGGGTCCCCCAAAAGACATCCATTCCAAACCTTCCTGGCTTCATAGAATGGGAAGGACATCCAGCCCAACCCTCATCATCCGGTGGAGGATTATAGCATTGGAAAGGGCTCCCCAAAATCCCTGGAAGGATAATGGCAGCATAGAATGGGAAGGACATCCAGCCCAACCCTCATCATCCAATGGAGGATTATAGCATTGGAAGGGGTCCCCCAAAAGCCATCCAGTCCAACCCTTCTGGAAGGATCATGGCCTCATAGAATGGGAAGGACATCCAGCTCAACCCTCATCATCCTCATTGGAAGGGGTTCCCCAAAAGCCATCCAGTCCAACTCTTCCTGGAAGGATCATGGCCCCATAGAATGTGAAGGACAACCAGCCCAACCCTCATCATCCAGTGGAGGATTATAGCATTGGAAGGGGTCCCCCAAAAGCCATCCATTCCAAACTTTCCTGGTATCATAGAATGTGAAGGACATCCAGCCCAACCCTCATCATCCGGTGGAGGATTATAGCATTGGAAGGGGTCCCCCAAAAGACATCCATTCCAAACCTTGCTGGCATCATAGAATGGGAAGGACATCCAGCCCAAGAGTTGGCCAAGAGAGGAGCCAGGAAGGTGAGGCACCCAGGGGAACTGGGGGCAGGTGGGGCAGGGGAAGGGAGACCCCAAGGAACAGACAGGACATGGCTTCATAGAATGGGAAGAAAACCCAGCCCAACCCTCATCATCCGGTGGAGGCTTATAGCATTGGAAAGGGCTCCCCAAAATCCCTGGAAGGATAATGGCAGCATAGAATGGGAAGGACATCGAGCCCAACCCTCATCATCCAATGGAGGATTATAGCATTGGATGGGGTCCCCCAAAAGCCATCCAGTCCAACTCTTCCTGGAAGGATCATGGCCCCATAGAATGGGAAGGACATCCAGCCCAACCCTCATCATCCAGTGGAGGATTATAGCATTGGAAAGGGTCCCACAAAAGCGCTAGAATGATCATGGAAGTATAGAATGGGAAGGACATTCAGCCCAACCCTCATCATCCAGTGGAGTATTATATAGCATCAGAAGGGGTCCCCTAAAAGCCATCTAGTCCAATCCTTCCTGGCATCATATAATGGAAGGACATCCAGCCCAACCCTCATCATCCAGTGGAGGATTATACCTTTGAAAGGGGTCCCCCAAAAGCCATCCAGTCCAACTCTTCCTGGAAGGATCATGGCCACATAGAATGGGAAGGACAGCCAGCCCAACCCTTATCATCCAATGGAGGGTTATAGCATTGGAAGGGGTCCCCCAAAAGCCATCCAGTCCAACCCTTCCTGGCATCATAGAATGGGAAGGACATCCAGCCCAAGAGTTCGCCAAGAGAGGAGCCAGGAAGGTGAGGCACCCAGGAGACTCAGGGGGAGGGGGCAGGGGAGGGGAGACCCCAAGGACCAGCCAGTACATGGCTTCATAGAATGGGAAGGACATCCAGCCCAACCCTCATCATCCGGTGGAGGATTATAGCATTGGAAAGGGTCCCCCAAAAGCCATCCATTCCAAACCTTCCTGGCATCATAGAATGGGAAGGACACCCAGCCCAACCCCCATCATCCGGTGGAGGATTATAGCATTGGAAGGGGTCCCCTAAAAGACATCCATTCCAAACCTTCCTGGCATCATAGAATGGGAAGGACACCCAGCCCAACACTCATCATCCAGTGGAGGATTATAGCATTGGAAAGGCTCCCCCAAAAACTCTGGAAGGATCATGGCAGCGTAGAATGGGAAGGACATCCAGCCCAACCCTATCATCCAGTGGAGGATTATAGCATTGGAAGGGGTCCCCCAAAAGCCATCCATTCCAAACCCTCCTGGCAACATAGAATGGGAAGGACATCCAGCCCAACCCTCATCATCCAGTGGAGGATTATATAGCATCAGAAGGGGTCCTCCTAAAGCCATCCAGTCCAACCCTTCTGGAAGGATCATGGCCTCATAGAATGGGAAGGACATCCAGCTCAACCCTCATCATCCTCATTGGAAGGGGTTCCCCAAAAGCCATCCAGTCCAACTCTTCCTGGAAGGATCATGGCCCCATAGAATGTGAAGGACAACCAGCCCAACCCTCATCATCCAGTGGAGGATTATAGCATTGGAAGGGGTCCCCCAAAAGCCATCCATTCCAAACTTTCCTGGTATCATAGAATGTGAAGGACATCCAGCCCAACCCTCATCATCCGGTGGAGGATTATAGCATTGGAAGGGGTCCCGGGGCAATTTCAGGGGGGGTTGGGGGCTGAGTTTCGGGGGGGGCTGAGCTGAGTGAAAGAGGGTCTACCCTAGCAAACCTTTTGTATCATTACCCCAATACCCCCATGCATATGGGATATATTGAGTATGGTGATCAGATCATGATATGAATAAACATAACAGTTTAAATAATGCACCAGTAAGGCCTTTTCGCGAACCACCATGAGAATTTTGGGGGGCTGAAGCCCCTCAAGCCCCCCCCCTGGCTACATGCCTGAGCCCATCCCTGATCATCTGGTGGAAGATTATAGCATTGGAAAGAGTTCCCCAAAAGCCCTGGAAGGATAATGGCAGCATAGAATGGGAAGGACATCCAGCCCAACCCTCATCATCCGGTGGAGGATTATAGCATTGGAAAGGGTCCCCCAAAAGACATCCATTCCAAACCTTCCTGGCATCATAGAATGGGAAGGACATCCAGCCCAAGAGTTGGCCAAGAGAGGAGCCAGGAAGGTGAGGCACCCAGGGGAACTGGGGGCAGGTGGGGCAGGGGAGGGAAGACCCCAAGGACCAGCTTCATAGAATGGGAAGGACATCCAGCCCAACCCCTAATCATCCAGTGGAGGATTATAGCTTTGGAAAGGGTTCCCTGGAAGGATCATGGCAGCATAGATGGGAAGGACATCAAGCCCAACCCTCATCATCCAGTGGAGGATTATAGCATTGGAAGGGGTCCCCCAAAAACCATCCATTCCAACCCTTCCTGGCATCATAGAATGGGAAGGACATCCAGCCCAACCCTTATCATCCAGTGGAGGATTATAGCATTTGAAAGGCTCCCCCAAAAGCTCTGGAAGGATCATGGCAGCGTAGAATGGGAAGGGCATCCAGCCCAACCCTCAACGTCCAGTGGAGGATTATAGCATTGGAAGGGGTCCCCCAAAAGCCTCCAAACCTTCCTGGCATCATAGAATGGGAAGGACATCCAGCCCAAGAGTTCACCAAGAGAGGAGCCAGGAAGGTGAGGCACCCAGGGGATTCGGGGGGAGGGGGGGCAGGGGAAGGAAGACTCCAAGGACCAGCTTCATAGAATGGGAAGGACATCCAGCCCAACCCCTCATCATCCGGTGGAGGATTATAGCATTGGAAGGGTTCCCCAAAATCCCTGGAAGGATAATGGGGGCATAGAATGGGAAGGACAGCCAGCCCAACCCTCATCATCCAATGGAGGATTATAGCATTGGAAGGGGTCCCCCAAAAGCCATCTAGTCCAATCCTTCCTGGCATCATAGAATGGGAAGGACACCCAGCCCAACCCTCATCATCCAGTGGAGGATTATAGCATTGGAAGGGGTACCCCAAAAGACGTCCAGTCCAACCCTTCCTGGAAGGATCATGGCATCATAGAATGGGAATGGCATCCAGCCCAACCCTCATTGGAAGGGGTACCTCAAAGCCACCCAGTCCAGCTCTTTCTGGTGGAATCATAGTATCATAGAATGGGAATGACATCCAGCCCAACCCTCATCATCCAGTGGAGGATTATAGCTTTGGAAGCGGTCCCCCTAAAGCCATCCAACTCTTGCTGGAAGGATCATGGCCCCATAGAATGGGAAGGGCAACCAGCCCAACCCTCATCATTGGGTGGAGGATTATTGCATTGAAAGGGGTTCCCCAAAAGCCATCCAGTCCAACCCTTCCTGGACGGATCATGGCTCCATAGAATGGGAAGGGCAACCAGCCCAACCCTCATCAGCCAATGGAGGGATTATAGCAATGGAAAGGGTTCCCCAAAAGCCATCCAGTCCAACCCTTCCTGGCATCATAGAATGGGAAGGACATCCAGCCCAAGAGTTCGCCAAGAGAGGAGTCAAGAAGGTGAGGCACCCAGGGGACTTGGGGGGAAGGGGGGCAGGGGAGGGGAGACCCCAAGGACCAGCCAGCACATGGCTTCAGAGAATGGGAAGGACATCCAGCCCAACCCTCATCATCCGGTGGAGGATTATAGCATTGGAAGGGGTCCACCAAAAGCCATCCAGTCCAACCCTTCGTGTCATCATAGAATGGGAAGGACACCCAGCCCAACACTCATCATCCAGTGGAGGATTATAGCATTGGAAAGGCTCCCCCAAAAACTCTGGAAGGATCATGGCAGCGTAGAATGGAAGGACATCCAGCCCAACCCTCATCACCCAGTGGAGGATTATAGCCTTGAAAGGGGTTCCCCAAAAGCCATCCAGTCCAACACTTCCTGGAAGGATCATGACCTTATAGAATGTGACAGACATCCAGCCCAATCCTCATCAGCCGATGGAGGGATTATAGCATTGGAAAGGGTCCCCCAAAAGCCCTGGA